TTTTTGGTACCGGGGATTGAACTCGGGTCCTTGCGCTTGCAAGGCAGGCAGCAGAACCACTGAGCTAAATTCCCAGCCCCTCAGAGCTTAATTTTCAATGAAATAACAAATAACAGCTGAGCATGGTGGCACACACCTCTAATCTTAGTACTACTGCAGGCCACAGCTGAAGGATCATGAGTTCAAGCCCAGTCTGGGAAATTTAGAGATTTAGTGAAACCCTATCTCAAAATTAAAAATTAGGGCTAGGGATTTAGCTCAGTGGTTCCACCACCTGCCTTGCAAGCACAAGGTCCTGAATTCGATCCCCAGTACCAAAATAAATAAATTAAATAAATAGTATAAAACAATTCTGGAGACATGGCTTAGTGCAACAACACTGGATTCAAATCCCACTGCTGAAAAAAATATTACAAAATTTTAAATCACAGATAAATAATGGCTTTAAAATAATGGGGGAAGTTAAAGAAATGAACTGAATGAAGGTTAAAGTAAAGGAAATTTTTGATAGAAAGTGCACCTTACAATGAATCTAGGATTCTTCTGAGTGGTATCATTGTTCCAGAATAAATTAAAGAACAAATTTCTTTCATGGCAGTGTTAAGAGAGATATAGCAATTGGAGAATCTGCCAATAAACATGTTCTATAGGAATACACGATGATCTATTGCAAAGCAAGATTTCCCCCTATCTTAGTGTATGTTTCAGGAAAAAAACTACCATTATATATGTACCAAAAGCCAAAGCACACTATGTTTACATAATATTTTTATTTTAAATTAAGTTTAGGTTTTATCTTACATATTCTTCACTTGAAATAATTGTCTTAGATGTGATAATATTTTGACTACATAGGACAATATCCTTATTCTTTGAAAGTACATGCTAGACTACTTAATAATAAAGTGTTTTCATATCACTTATTTGTATATATTTTCTACAATCAATTTCAAAATGTTTCATATACACTGATGCATATACCGGCACACACAGAGCAAATCGGTAAACTGTTAAAAGTGTTGAATCTAAGAAGTATACCACACTGGTGTCTCTTCCACTACCCTTTCAACTTTTCCATATGATAGAAATTTGCTGCAATAAAAAAAATGCAAGACAAGAGAATTGGACAAAAATTTAATTCACTGTCAAAAGTCTTAGGTCTTTTATGAAATTGTCTGCTAGATAAAAGAAAGGAATTGCATATTTTATTTTCCATGGGATGGAAGAAGAAAATAAAAATAGTAAATGGAGGAAGGTAATGAAATCAAAAGACATTACATGAAATAACTTTTAGTTATAACTAGAAAATGAAATTTTATCCTTTCAAACTTGCCTTTTTTTCTCCAAAATATGACATGTAAATGACAATAATATTACTGTTGACCTTCATAAGGTTTTTGTGATGATTGAAAGAGTTCATACCTGCAAAGCAAACCCAGCCCAAGAATACAGTAAACACTATGATGTGCTTGTTAAATAAAATAATAAAATACAAACTACGAATAAACCTAAATTTCTAAACATACACATTTCTGTTCAAGAAATCAATGTTGACTGGTGGGACATTAAAAATGATTCAGAGTATTTTTTATCATTTCAAGTGTACATTTTCTCCAAAATGAACACAGATGTATCCAAATAAGGAGTCATACCTGTGGTATGTCCAAGTTGTCCAAAGGGATTCTGGGTCAGGTCAATTGTCCTATCTATTTGAAAGATATTTAAGTCTTCATCATCTAAGGCAATATCACCCCAAAATACAGCTAAAAGAGAAAAGGTGAATTAAAATGTAAAATATGTCATAGTAAAATGAATGCAAAGCTAATTAGAAAAAACATTACTGAAGTAATCTGAACTGGAAATATCGCACTTGTTACAATATAAATATAAGCCTCCTGTGAGATAGGTATGACCCCTGTTGTTTTTGGTACTGCTTTGTTTTTACTTTCCTAGCATTGATATTTGTGGGGAGGACAAAAAATAGTCTCCTTGAACGAGATGCTCAATGATTGACTAGGTTGGTGAGGTTCTAAAGACATAGAAATTGGCAATAATGAATTTATCTGCAAATATGTGAAAATCTGGGAAGAATGTCTACACTTTCTGTGGCTGCTTGCAACCAGTCACAGGTCATCACTGGTTGGGGAAAGGAGTAACAAGTAAACGATGGGCTGTGATAATTTTGTAAACCAAGCTTCACTCAGGACGAAAGAATATTTTGCCATTGTAGCCACTCATTAATTAATTCACTACAATTATAATGCACTTCTCTAAAGCCGACATTACCTTGAGTCCCTACAAAATGGATATATAACTACCAAACTCATATTTAAGTCAAATGTTCATTTGGGCAACAACTAGTTCCAGGCCTTTGAGATTTTATGATGAATAAGATCTGTTTCATATTTTCAGAAACCTCAAAATTATTATCTTTATAGCTCAGAAAACATTTCACTTCTTGCAGTGCTTTATGTTACTGAATAAAGCAAAGGTCTACGGCCCACTTTGAAATAATGAAAAGCTCATTTATAAGAAAGATGTGGATGGGAATTCAGCTCAGTGGTTCTGGCACCTGTCTCGCAAGTGCAAGGTCCTGAGTTCGACCACTGGTACCAAAAAATAAAATAAAATGAGGAAGATGTGAACTTCTCTTTTAATATCAGAAATAATATTCACATAATGATGAAATGGTCTTCTTGTTTATTTGAGCCTAAACTAAGCCAACTAAGTCATCATCACTGTCAGATGTCATAATACAGTGATTCAGGAAACAGCAAACTTGAGAAAATAAATTGATCATGACACAGTAAAATGTAACAAATGGCTAAAAATATCAGGATATTAATTTTAAATTTTCTTCTGTAAAACCAAAGGAGAAAAAGAATAACCGCATTCAAAATTTAGGAAGTAATAAAATCTATGTTTTTCAAATCATTGTCTTTTATTGGAAACTGTACTTATGAATTTTAGCATGATTCTTAAAAGTAATAAAATTAGCTAACATGAGATTTAAACCAGTTATCAAAGCTATGACATGTTTTATCATTTAAAATTTCATGTTAACATATGAAATTAACTAGTTTTGTTTTCTCACACAAATCTGATACAGGAAGGATTTAGATTTCTATGTTGATCTAGAAATCAGAAAATAAAACTCAATTTGTGGTATGTTATCTGTTTAATATATGGAAATGTCTTAAAATTTGAATTCTCTCCTCAACCACTATTTTTTTTCCTAGTACCAATAGTCTTCCCTCTTGCCAGTGGGAATGGCAGAGTGTAATAGGTGTAAAGAAATATTTACTATCTTTTACTGTCATAGGAACAACTCCATGAAGAGTCTATAAAAGAGCTTATGACTCTAGCTAAGAGGTTGGTGTTGATAGCTGAAACTGAAATCCAGACTCTAAAATCAAATTTAACTTCATACACATGCAGGAAAAAAATAAAAACACTAATGCTCCAGTGCCCTGAAAGCTCAGGAAAGAGATGACTGATCAGAATTTAAAGTTTTGCCCATTATCTTGTTGTTTTCATTAAAATAACTTCTACTTTGAAGACTTTAAGGTAAATCCAAGTTTGTGAGTTATTTACTGCTATCTTGTGTATTTCTACACAAATAACTGTGCGCGCTGACCTGCAGAGACTCAGCCTGACTCTTCTTTCTTAATCCTGAAGAGCTGGGGCAAACAGACACTAAATCTGTGTATATCTAACTCTACTTTGCAGAGAATCACCATGAATTTACTGAAAATGAAAATTTGGATTTATCCAGCTGAAGAGAAACTTCAGGTCTTTACATTTTTAACAAACTCCTAGTTGCTACAAATAATTATCATTGCCAACATTTTTATTAGTATTCGTTTTTTTTCTTTTCTCTGCAAGAAAAAGCCTCCACTCTTGTGAGTCAGCTGATGAACTGGAAAACTGAGACACCCAACCAATCAGAGTGTGTGTTTGTCAGCACTACATTTTCCATAATAGATGGAGTACCCATAAAATAAAACTCAAATGTGTTTTAGATTTTTATGTTCTTGGAATGACTGTGCAGAGGCAGCAGGATTCATGCCCTGACAGATTATATCAAACACAGATCAGCAGTCCAAGGGTAAGTCACTTCACAGAGGCAAAAACATTACTTCTGGAGACTCACACAGGCAGGCAGCCAGATTTGGAAGGCATTAGCCCATTTTATTTATCTTTCTTTTTTCTAACCTAATAGCTTCGGAATAGCTTGGCAGTTCTGAATATATCATAAATTGCTTCATAAGAAAGCCAAGAACTTTTTTTAAAGTAAGCAACAGGGAATGTTGATGTTGATGTATTTCTGTACAGATTCAATGAATTGGAGACCCCGTGCATCTTTAAATCTTGATATGATCAACAGAAAGAAAAGACATTCTAGAATTTCAACCTACTATATATGGTTGTTTAAAATACATAATTTCTTTCTCCATATTCACACATTTGAAGGTTTCCATTTCATCTCTACTCAAATCTAAGTATCCTATTCTGTATGCTAAAATACTTTATTTATGCTTTGGTACAGCAAGCTGGAGCATGACAATATTGATTTACAATTTACATTATAGTTTAATATATATTTTATGTTTGTTTGCAAAGAGATACATGGAATTCACAATTCCACTTTGGAATTTTTTGTTTTCCATTTTATTCAGTGTTTTCTATTTAGTTCGCATTTAAACCCCACAGAGATTAGACAGAAATAATTAAAAGTTATGAATTATCATTGGTTGTCTCACTCATAAGGTGATTTGAAAGTTTTCAGTTCAGAACTAAAAAGAATATGGGAACTTGGTTAATAGAGGACAATCCTAAGGAAATGCTCGACTGCAATTAGAATATTCATTATCTATTTGGAATTCGGCTTGGATTCCTATGGTCAAAAAGGGGGAGGGCAGAGCTAACCAATAGGCCAAAATTAAATGTCAGGAAGAACAATTTTCAAACTACATTCAAAACCACAGGTTTTGTTTTTCTCCTAAAAGTCATTTCCCTTCAATGAATTACAAAAATTTCCAAAACTCAAAGATCTAGAAAGACAGTAAGCTTTTGTTGCGGTATACAGAGCAATGCACTCTATAAAATAATGTATAGTAAAAATAAGCAATCTAAGATTGTAATTCCCTACCCCCTATGTTTTAAGGATACCTCTTTCACCCTTCCATTAGTGAATCACTTCCAGATTCACTAATGATGTTTGGCCCTTTAGTTTTGCGGCTGGGGTCCAAGGATCAGTTATAAAGAGGTTTCAAGTGTGTGATATCTGAAAAACTGTATACAAAATATGCATATGTATGGGTTTATAAGACTATTCTTTACCTAAAGCAAAGCCTATCAGTCCACTTAGAGGAAAATACTTGCAAATGAAAAATTTCCCAGAAAATAAATATATTCAATTTCACACAACAATACCTGACAACACTAGAATACCTAATAACCTGACAATACAATGTGATAGTAAGGAAGACTGTCTGCAATCATTACCGACAGAAAGCCTTCCCACAAAACCCCTCTTCCCAGGGGATCTGGGGTGTTTCATCAGTTTCTGTGCCCCAGAGGCTTCTGTCAATAATCAGCCAACACCTGAGATTTTGTAATTACGTTTTCAAGCATTTGACCCTTTGGCCTGATTTTCAAACTACTAATCCCAACAGTTAGCATGTGTTTTTCATCTTTCTTTTTTAATAAATTAATATTAACAGATACATAAAATTTTATATAGTAATATACATAGTGGTATAATATTTTTACATAGTAATACACATAGTGGTATAATATTTGAATACATGTCTAAATTGTGTAATAGTTCAATCAGATTAAGCATATCCATGTCCTCAATCATTTATCATTTCTTGATGATGAAAACTTTTGAAATCCTGCAACAGCTATCCAAGCAGTACTGCCCAGTCACTTCTCAGGGTTTTATTTTAGGAGAGATCCCTCCCTCCATTGTTCTGACCCCCGTGTTGCAGCACAGGTCCCATTAAAATAAAGACTCACTTTTGTGGTCCTGTTAAAAAAAAAAAATCCTGTATTCTAGTTTTTTGAAGTATACAGTACATTGTTATTATCAATATTCACCCTGCTGTGCAATAGCACCTTAAATCCTCAATGCCAGAGTCCCAAAAATAAGTAGCTCTTCAGGATATATTTTTAGCAATTTTTTAAAAAATGTAAATGGATTGGTGTATAATTTGTGTAAGAAAAATGAAGCTAAACATGGTATATATTTAATAAATCTGCCTCAAAACCAAAATACTAGCTATTTACCCACTTCAAAGAATGATTATGGAAAATATGTCCCCTTTTCTCTAAATGCCACACTTATAGTCTCAGAAAATACATGATGGAAATTGAAGTCCAGTTATCTTCATATTTGTGGGATCTGGAGAGAGAGATCAAAGATTCAAAGATAGCCAGGAGTGCTTACTCATTACACTTTTTCCACAAAATGTTTAAACTCTCAGCTTTCATTGATGTTAGATTTTAGGAGGAAAAATGATGTCATGTGAAGGTCTAACAAACTGCTTTGACTCACAATGAAGCATAATAAAAATTTCCTCAGAGAAGGGCAACAAGGAAGTCTCAAAAATGAACTATTTTTATATGATTGACAACTACTAAACAAATTCCCAAGAAAATGTAAGATTTAGCATAAGTTCTAATACATACATTTTAAAAGCAATGTATCAGTCAAAAAGAAAATAATTTCCCATTGGCTTTTTATTTTCACAGAATA